CGGCTGCGTGGCGGGTTGGCCTACCCAGCGCATAGCAGGCGCTATGATCCTTCACCTCGTGAAGGCGTTCAGCGTTTATAATGGCGACACTGCAAGAATGATGGGGGTAGACGCGCCGGCTGGCGATGTGGCAATTCCCTTCCACTGGTACTAGTGTGACGCAGGTTAAGGGTGTGTGGATAAACAGGGGTGGTCTTTTCGGAGGGTGGGAAACACGTCGGCTTCGATAATTTGTCCTGTCTCGATTCTTAGCGGGTCAAGGCCGTCTTTTTGGCTACTTCCAGGTGGAAGGTACTGCAATCTGACTATACAGTTGCTATTGGGGGTTCTGAAAGTGCGGGGGTACTGTAACCCCCCACCCCCAATCTGCCTCAACGACAGTGCGTGAGTGCGTGGGGAACACTCACACGCGTGTTTGTGTGCGTTCGCCAAACTTTACCGGAGACCACACGGCGCACTTCCACTTTCACCGCCTTGAATCCACTTCCGCCTGCTCATGCACGTCCGAGTCGAACCGAAACGAGCCGCTTGCTTTTGGGGCCGGGACAAGGTTCTGCCCTCGTCGCCAGAAATGCAAAACCAAAGTCACAAACCCCCTGCGCTAAGTGCTGCCACCGGGCCGGACAAGCAGCCGCGCGGGGGGGCCGCCGCCGGGGCGGGCACAGAGGGGTGCGAGGCCCCGCTGGGACTTAATGGAGCCGACAGCACCCTCGGGAGGGAGAGGGTGGGGTGTGGGAGCGACTCGCTGGAAGCCTGACTTGAGGGGACCAGTCCCCAGACGTGCCCCCGGTCCGACCGGGGCGTGGTGGTTCGCAGTTGGCCCCAGTCGGTTGGCCGCGACGCTCGTCCCCGAGCAGCTCTTCGAACAACGCACCCTGCGCCACGCGACCCGTGCGACGCCCCTCCTACGCGCACCCGCGAGGAACCGCGACATGCCGGCAGCAGGGCGAGTGGCAGGGCGCACGACTCGTGAGTACCGCAGCGCAGAGCGCAGCGAGGCGAGTGGCGGTGTCCCTGCGTCTGTCCTCTCACCGGTGGTGCACGCGCTGGTTGCAGCAGGAGCGGGCGCGGCGGCGTGGTGGGCGCTCCTGTGGCTGGGCGCCGCGTGCCAGGTGGTGGCTGCTGCGGGGGCGGGTGCTGGCGGCGGCGACGCGGCGGCGAGTGGCTCAACGCCGAACGAAGAGTGCCAGGTTACCCCCGTAATCCACGTCTTGCAGTACCCCGGCTGTGTGCCCAAGCCCATTCCCTCGTTCGCGTGCACCGGTCGCTGCTCGAGCTACCTCCAGGTGATCGACGTGACGATGGCGCCCGTCTCTCGCACCCCTGTCGAGGATGTTTAACCCCCTTTTACCATCCCCAGGTGTCTGGATCCAAGATTTGGCAGATGGAGCGCTCCTGCATGTGCTGCCAAGAAAGCGGCGAGCGAGAGGCCAGCGTGTCACTATTTTGTCCTAAGGCGAAACCCGGCGAACGAAAGTTCCGAAAGGTGACCTGATGATGCTGACACATTTCTCAGATGCGCCCCAGCGCCCTTAGCTCTCCATTATCGTGCAATTCTATTCATTCTAGGTCTCGACAAAAGCCCCACTTGAGTGCATGTGCCGGCCTTGCACCGGGGTTGAAGAAAGTGCAATCATACCCCAAGAGATTGCTGGCTATGCTGATGAAGGCCCCTTAAGCCACCACTTCAGAACTTCTTCATGAATCCTAATTGAATCGGAATAACAGCATGTGTTAAGGATTTTCCAATGAACCAAACCTTCAATACTCTGTCATAAATTACTTAATTCTATAAAGCATTCCAGTAAACCTATAATGCAGAAGAATGCGAGGAAGAAGAAAACTGAAACCACTATGCTTTTACATGAGACTTCCGTTTTCTTGTTCCTTGCATTCTTCTGCATTTCAGCTTCACCGGATTGCTTTATTTATCGGACATCTTACAGAGTCACTACTGGTGCTCAGTGTATAATCTTAATATTGCAGCAAAAAGACCCAATAAAAAGTAAATTTAAATGTGTGTTTCATTTGGCAAACTTCATATAAGATAGGATCCAGGAATCTGAAAGGGTACAACAACTGCCAATATGGAAATGTACATATATATTTTTTTTTATATACAGCGCTTTCAAAACATGTCAAAACTTGACAAAATAGGTCAAAACAGTACTTAAATGCTCTTATTGAGATTTCAAATACATCAGTTTCTTTAGCAATGATTACAATGATGAAATGGGTACAAGCCTAAAAACAGTAAGGCATCAGGGTCAAATAACAACCAACACATTTTGTACACCATATTTTAATATTTCTACTCCCTCATAACCAGACGTCTCATCCATAAATATAGTCTGTCATTTACATAGAATGGATGCGAGCATTTCCATATTTCTACATACAAAACAACAACTTTCCTGCGACCACTGTTCTGTTCTCATTAACATGCCGAAGTTCACCTATTCAAATGCTGCAATTTACAAAACTAAATAATCCCAACCAAAACTGTAGCTTGAAGCTACACAGTTCTTGATTCAACAAAAACAACACTTCATTTTTAATAGTATAATACACAATTATGTTTATTCAATTTCACCTCCAGTTTCTCTGCATGATAAATCTCTTAATAGCAATAATAATAATATTTATATGGACTTAGTTTGATTCATTTATCATTCCAATTCAGAGTTGCTTGAAATAACAATTAATGCCCTATTCCTTTTCACTTTTGAAGTTAAGGATAACATTTGCCATGTTGAAAATAAATGTTATGGAAAGACAATCAGGTTGGTCTGCTTGTTAATGTGGTGCGAGCGTGGGTCGCCAAAACAAGTGATACTGAAGCCATCACGCTTGCTCAGTCATTCCTGAATCGATCATTTAAAATTACGTAGTAAATATTCTTTGCTATGTTAAAAAACTGCTTATAAAGTAAAAAAGCATTCTCAAAGCATGAGAAACATGATACCATATCAGTCATATTTTAGTTTCGAAAACGAACTAGACACTAATACTACTGCTCTTGAGGGCAGTTTATTCCTTCAGACTTCAAAGATCCTCCATGTTGTTCCTGTGCCAAGCGCACACGCAAACACACTATCACTCCACACATTCGGCTCAGTCAGAGTCCATCATATATATTGGAGCACAGAAGTATGCTTGACATGGAGTTGACATAAAGTTGATATCAAGGATGTTCCTCCTCTTCATCAACTTCAGCTTCAGCAAGAAGGGTCTGGAAAGATGCTAAGCTCTTTTTGCAGACACCTCTGCCTTCAGACTCTTGGGGATCATTACTTTCAAACCAAGCTAAGAAAGCTTCAGTAGATATTAAGTTGTCTTCCCACAGTGTGTTGAAAATGGATAGAATAAGGCCTGTAAAAGGAGGAAAAATTAGTATGAACGATCTACAGACAGATATCGAAAGGTCTATGGGGATTGTACTCACCCTGAGGGTAATCCAATTGCATGATCAATGCTTGAACAGCATACAAACATTGAAGTTCTAGATCTTCCTTATTGTCAACATACCGCAGCAGTAGTTTGTCTTGTCTTAATTTTACATCATTTAATGTCAACTTATTTGATTGAGCTTCTACAACACAAGACACAAAATAAATGAGACAAGTCAAAACATGCATCAAATCAGCATTTAACTTGTTACAAGAATATCTTACCGATAATTGCATTTTTACAAATAGCTGTCATCAGAGCACGGATGAAAGCAGGTTCCTTTGTTCTGTCCCCAACATTACACTGAAAAGAAAGATTAGATTTAAGAAATGTCAAGTTCAAGTATGGCAAACATAAAATCTCAAAAATATGTAATAAAGTCATACCTGTATCCATTCCTGTACAGCATCAAAGCTAACCTCTGATCTAAGCAGTTCCAGGATTTTAGCCTGAATCTCTGCTTGAGTCATCTCTGATCTGGACGCCTGCGCCCCACCAGAGAATGATTCGAATTTCTGAAAATTAGAACATGCCGGGAATTAGAACAGATATGTTTCAGCCATAATCAACAAGAGGTCCAGAAAAATTGCTTACATTTTCTTTAACAAAGTCTGAGACATCTTCAGCAGCTAGGAAGTCACTCCATGTGACTCCGCACTTTTCCCAATGGTCCCGGATCCAGCTGGGACCCTAGAAAAGAAACCATAACTTTATTCAAATTCTCCTATGATCAAGCAGTTACAGTGTGTACAGTACTACACATCATCTAGGCTAGTCCAAACCGCGAGGTCTCAAACAAATTAATAATCAAAGTTGACTTAGGAAATTGAGATAGGAGTCTACATACCCTTTCCTTAACTAAAACTTGAATAATATTCTTGAGCAGCAGCCCAGCATCCTTTGAGCCTTTGAGCACTTTCATAGGTTCTGCTAGATCTTTGAAAGTCACAGCCTCAGTAAGAAGAAAATGCCCTGTAGATACAAAACCGTGAGATTAGAATCAAACCACACAGAATATCACAATATGTAATGAAACAGATTTCATACCAATAAGATCCCCTACATGGATCCAAAGTTTGGGATAATCAATAATAAGATCTGGGCACAATTCTAAGAATTCAGCAAACCTGAAAATACAAATGAACAATTTAATAACATTGAGTAATTAGGGTTTGGGCTTATTAAGAGGAAAAACTATTTAAGACTTACCCAGAGAAGAAATGTTCTTTCTTCATATAATTAACTTTAATAAGATGTGCTAAAAATTGAGAAACTAGCTGATGACCTTGAGAATGGTCTAATGTGAGTGTTAGAATTTCACGGTTAAAAGCACCTATGTTGGTCCAATCAAAGTAATCCATAACTGCTAACTGCGCTTCCTGTAACAGAAAAAACAAAAATACAACGATTAAAATGTGTAAAAGTAGAACATTTCTCAAAGAGCATTGAAAGGTACAGACCTCCATATTTTTATGCCCTTGGAATTCCAAAAAGATGTTCTTAGTAAATCTTTCTAGTTCTGCGGGATCTTCTACCCTCTTGATTTTACACACAGGACCTTCCCCACGTGCTTCTCCAGAGGGCTGGTCATCACTCGGAGAAGAATCTGTGAGGGAGGATGGTGTAGGCACCCTGCACGAAAAAGAAATGAATTAGCACATAGACATGTCGTAACATTTAAAAGTTTAATACTCTGTGGGCTCCGTATCTGTCTGCAGACAACATCTTTAACGACTGCAGTCATCAGAGAGCAATCATGATCTAGGGATTATTAGTGGTGAGACCTCAAATTCTGACAGAAGTCTCACGTATCAAATCCCATTCAAACAAGCAATGACACTGACCTGTTTCTCCTCTCATCTTCCAGTTTTCCTCTGGCAACAGAACTATCCCTGGAAGCTGGCTGAGAGCCCATCCTATGTTGACTACTGCTGCGTGAGCTGGGACCCCTCTCACCTAAGAACAAAAATAAAATGATTATAGGCTAGTCAACTAATAGTTACTGATAAAATCTGGACTGACAGGACTATCAAGCTATCAGAATCCTTTTGGCTTGTCCAAACAGCGAGGTCACAAGACCCCTTCTCAAGCAATGGTATCATCATAGCAAGATATAAGTAGTGCGAATTAAGATCAGAATCCTTTTGGCTTGTCCAAACAGCGAAGTCATGAGACCCCTTCTCAAGCAGCTCTATCATCATAGCTAGTTTATAAACACAAGTAATACAAATTGGGAAAGTATCAGAATCCTTTTGGCTTGTCCAAACAGCGAGGTCACAAGACCGCTTCTCAAGCAATTTTATCATCATAGCAAGATTGTAAAGACAGGTAATACAAATTGTGTGAGAGAGCTATCAGAATCCTTTTGGCTTGTCCAAACAGCGAGGTCACAAGACCGCTTCTCAAGCAATTTTATCATCATAGCAAGATTATAAACACAGGCAATACAAATTGTGTGAGCGAGCTATCAGAATCCTTTTGGCTTGTCCAAACAGCGAAGTCATGAGACCCCTTCTCAAGCAATTTTATCATCATAGCAACACAGGTAATACAAATTGGGAGAGCATCAGAATCCTTTTGGCTTGTCCAAACAGCGAGGTCATGAGACCCCTTCTCAAGCAATTCTATCATCATAGAAAGATTATAAAGATAAGTAGCGCTAATTGAGTGAGCTATCAGAATCCTTTTGGCTTGTCCAAACAGCGAAGTCATGAGACCCCTTCTCAAGCAATTATATCATCATAGCAACACCGGTAATACAAATTGAGAAAGCATCAGAATCCTTTTGGCTTGTCCAAACAGCGAGGTCATGAGACCCCTTCTCAAGCATTTGAATCATCACAGCAAAATTTAAAGTCAATGAGGTTTCAATATGATTTGTTGACACTCACCTCCCATACTACGATCTTTGGAGGCTGGCCCAGATAGCGGCGTTTTTCTATCTCTGAAATAAAATGCAGTGTGTTAAAAGTGTTATGCACATACTTCATCACAATATCATGCTAATCCTTTTATCTCGTCAGTAGGTTAGATTTTCCTCAATGATTTCAGTCCACTACTTTCAATTTTTAGGCATCATACAAGTTTGAATTAGATAAAAATGTGTAGCCATCAGAAACAGTTTTCTTCAAGTAGATCAGTCCACTACTTTTCTGAACATCATTTAGGCATCACAACTGAATAAAGAAATAAATGTTAGGTACTCACGCATTATTAAACATAGGCTTCTCTGAGAGTGCACCATATGGGTTGCTACTGATAACATTTGGCCTCAGGGACTTGGGGTCTCTGGTTGCACTGCTACCACTACCAACACCCCATTTACTAAATGTAGAAGGTGATCCTAAAGTGGTTGAAGATTCTGGCTGAAGGATAATACCCTTAGAAAGTTTGCTAACATCAATGGGCCTGCTTCTTGGGGCAGCTGTTTTCCAGCCATCATTGTCAGATGCCATAGAACCTGATAACACAAGGAAATTTATGAAACAATCAATAAAATAGTGTTCACATCTGCCAATTTTGAAGTAGATTTTACCTCCTCTGCCTCCTCTTGAGTCCATTCCTCTGCCCCCCATACGACCTCTGTCATCCTTTCTTGGAGTGTTTGGTTGAGACAATAACAGGTTTGTTTCAAGGGTTTCCCTTTCTGCCTCCTTGCTAATTTCAGTCATAGTTTTAGGATTTGAGTCATCTCGACGGGGAATCCATTTGTGAGACCTAAGATCAATGCAGTCTTGCAGCATGAATCGAACTCGAGAGGACACATTTCTTCCCCTTCTCTTCTTGTCTGCCAAGTCTTCCATTTTGTCAAAGAACGGCCCCAAAACATCACCAAGTTCCTGAAATGAATAAGAAAATTAAAAAATGCATCCTAACCAAACCAAAGCCCTCGACAAGGAAAAGAAAAGGATAAAAAAAATCCCAATCAGTCCTGTTGAGTTGACACCATCATGAAATACATATGGAAATGTTCTGTCATCACCAGGGAAATAATTGTTAAACAAAAGACCTTCAAAATTAATTGGCGCACAAGTCAGCCCTGTTGAGTTTGAACCATCACAGTAAGTATGGAATTAAAGGTGTCATCATGTGCGCAATGAAGAATTTACAATTTGCAAGTGATTTTTATGAACTATTAAGCATACACACATCAGCCCTGTTGAGTTTGAACCATCATAGACAGTATGGGTTTAAAATTTTCATCATCTGTGTAACACCTAAGTTAGAGACAACAGCAGCAGGGCCCCACCCAGTACATTATAGATAGGCTGATACTTACTTGCTCAAGCTTCTTGCCAATAGTCGTTAACAATTTGCAAAGACATTCATAAGATTCTTCATCTTCTTTCTGAAGCAATGCACTTACACAGCGCAACATGATGGCTCCAGTCAGCATACCTAGCTTGTACAGTTCACCAATAAACCTGACCAAAATTTAATTCATTAACCACCGTTTCTTTCATTGCAATTGCATGTTGCAGTAACATATTTCAAACATACCTAATATTACCAACTGATTTCATTCGAACTTTCCTTTCTTCTTCTTCATACATAAGTGTAAGTTCTTTTTTCTTTTCCTGAAAACAATGAGATTAGATATGATTAGATCATTTCATATATAGGGTACAAAACCACATGAGGCTTCATGGAGAACTTACAGGATCAGGTTGTTTCTCAATTTCTTTGAGTTTTATTTCTCTCTGGGCCAATTCAGCTTCCTTATTTTTCTCAAATTCCTGCTGACACCTAGTAATAAGAATTTTCCGGAAAGAGGCACCTTGCACATCTTTCGTTCTCAGTTCACTGCACATCTTTGCATAAGCTACTGAAAAGCTTGGCTCATCCACAGCCTGTGAGAAAGAAAGTTGTATTAAATTATCATGGATAACATTCTTACCCCATAGCACCACTTTCAAATTACACACCTTGTCAAACACAAGATCAATTACGCCAGTTAATTTCTCAGGCGTATCAATTGGCAAATTTTGCACTTGACCAACCAGCTTGTCAAACTTCTCAGGAGTGAGCTTGTTGAGAATACCCCGGACTTTCTTGTTAAGATCCTGAGTTTTAGCATCTGATTCGTCTTGGTTAGGAACAAGAATACCAGGTTTCCATGCATTTTCAGACTCATGAAGCTTGACATCTTCCCGCAGTGAGAGTGATAGATGAACAACAGGTGGTTTGCCAGGTTTAGGTTTGTTACCCTGTTGGCTGTTTCTCTTGGGAGGAGGCTGGAAGGACAAAAAATAATGTTTAGTGAATTCAGGAAAACAACATGAAATCATTGTTTTAACTTGTGACAGGAGCGCTCAGAAACTATACATATCGTCACATGAATCAGTGACTTTAGCTTTAATTCATCATATAAATTAAAATATTCAAGACATACAGTCAAAACATGAGAACCTAAGCCAGTCAGAAATAAAATTGTAATCATCTACATCAGTGACTTTAGCTTTGAATCATCATTGGTGGCTAGGCTAATATGTAGCTAAGTCCAAATTAGGATAATATTGGACGGTTGCACTTGCTATAACTGAATACCAACCAAGAATCAGTAATTGAAATTGTCTTCAAGGACTTCAGTCCACTACTTTCATTTTGAACATCATTTTTGGTTCACATGTACACTTGCTATCACTGAACAATACCAACCAAGAATCAGCAATAGAATTTGTCTTCAAGGACTTCAGTCCACTACTTTCATTTTGAACATCATTTTTGGTTTACATATTACCAGTGATAGTTTCCTGCATGTCTATTGATTGGCACCTCGTTTTGAATCAGGTGGCTGATGGATGATCCCAGCCCACTTTTCATTTACATTACTGTAACGTGTGCAAGAGTGCGGAAAGGTTGCTTACTCGCCATTACGCATTAGACACTAGGGTCAGCGGCGATAGGTAAACCCACCCGCATGCGGTGCAGTATAACTGCACATGGCATGGTGTTATAACTATTTAGCCACTATCAGAAAAAAAAATTGGGATTATCTTCATCTATGTCAGTGACCTCAACATTTTCATCATGAAAGGCTATGTTCAAATAATTTGACACCAATTTATGGAACTGGAGCCGATTGGCGTACGTCGTGCAGTGTAAGTACTTAAGTGGGTGTGGTTAATTTATCAGCCACCTGGTAAGGTAGTAACACTATTTAGCCATTATCAGAAAAAAAATTGGATTATCTTCATTCTAATCAGTGACCTCAACGTTTTCATCATGTAAGGCTTTTAAGTAGATGCGAGTTCAATAGACACCAATTAATGGCACTGGAGCCAACAAATGAGTTCATGTCAGGTACAATGAAGTGATAAGGAAAGTTACTGTACTCACCCCTCTCGATCCCCTTGAGCTGATGAAACCAGCAGGTGAGAACTCGTTGGTAAAGTTGTTCTGCATTGCTTTCTGTAAAGTTTAGGGATAATACGTTTGGATTAGATTAGATAACAATTTAATGCTTTTAACATTTGAGCTCTTTGTTGTACATACCTTATTGCCATCTTTCAGGACTACTTCTATCTCTGGAAGGCCATCTGGTTTTTTCTGAGACTGAGGGTCACTTCTCAATTCCATTAAAAATTTGCGATCATATTTCTTCTTGCCGTCAGGATTTTGAGGGCTCCATTGATCTGAAGAATAAAACTTATGACTTCTCGGAAAAATGCAATTAAAAAGCTATTCATTTGAGCGGACTCTACCTGCAGTATACTGCCTTCTTTTATCAGAAGATCCATCATCATTCATGCCAGAGACTTTGGCGTTCTCCTCATTACGTGCAGCTACTAATTTTCCTTCCTTGTCATTTTCCTTGTCCTCCTAAAACAAATAAATTACTGTCAACTTCCAATAACATTACCCAGTTGTCTCTCTGGTATTTGAGAAGATACACACCTTGTTGGAAGTAGTTTTGGGCAGAATTATAGGGGTTGCAGGAATAGCAAAAGGAGGATTAAAGCAGAAGAAGCCGGCACCCGAAGAGGCAGAAACGGACGCTGGTGTAGGAATGGGATTGGCTACAGCAGGAGCTGGCGCAGCAACCGCTGGCGAGGCCGCAGCAGGGACCGGCTCCGGCATTGCTGCTTCAGGAGCAGGTTCTGCAGAAACCTCAGCAGCTGGCTCAGCTGATGGTTCGGGAGCTGATTTGGGAGTCGCGGCACTTTCTGTCTCCTCTGTTGCAGCCACTGCGGGGGCGGGGGCAGGGGCGGGAGCAGGAGCAGTCGCAGCAGCCGCCTCCTCGACGGCCGGGGCCGGGGCCGGAGCCGGAGGAGCAGGGGCAGGGGCGGGCTCAGACATCGGTGTGGAGGCTGGAGCTGAAGAACTCTCCTCAGGGAGGGCAGGCTCAGCCGTCGTCTCCACGTCGAAGCCCTCCTTCTCGGTGCCCTTGGAGTTCGGGTCGCGCATCTTCTTGCCTTTGTTTCGGCCGGTTTTAGCTAAACAAAAGAAAACATAGATTACCAGAAAATTAAGACATAACTCGCAGGCAAGTGGGGACTAACATGATGACAGCCAGGGCCCCATCGAGATGCCCCTTTCTCCCCCTCCCCTTTCCCTTTCCACAAGTTCATCGTTCCGTTGGCACCTGCCTCGCCCCGCTCACCGTCAGGCCAGGCGTGCAGCGCGAGCATCGCACTAGACGCACACTTTCAGCTGAATTGCTGAACGGCGTGCGGCAAAACGCGTCGGAAATAGCGCTGCCGTATAAATAGCGGACAGTGCGGCACGCAGTCCCGCGGCTCGCCGAGGCTCAGACCCTGCCGTCGAGCAAGTCTGGCAGCCAGCGTGCCTCCGGGCCAGACTGGACTGGACAAGGTCGGCCAGGCCGGGACGGACGGGCGAGGCCGCCACCACCTGGACCAGCCAGGACCTTGCGGTAACTGGGACAGAGCGCCCCACAGGGCGTGGCGCACCAGCTGGCACATCACCGGGCACCAACGGGCACCTCTAGGACCTCAGCCGGCCCATGTCAACGTGGCATGGCATGACCTCAGGAGCACCGTGCAGCCGGCGAAAGCGGAGGACGTACATCTCACCCACAGGCACACAGACACCAGCTGCCTCCCGCCTCGTCGGGGGCGTTCACCTCGCCTGGGTCCCCCTCAGAAGGCCCCTCCCCGAGGCCAGGCCCCGCGTGCTCGGCGCACCCCGCAGAGGTCGCACGGTGCCACCTAACCTATCTCTGGGACGGCCTGGCCCGGCCTGACCTGCCCGCCCGTCCACGCGGGCAACCCGTGCCACGCGGTACCCCCGCCGTCCTCATGGCGGAGCGCGACAGCCCAACAGCTGTTGACCCGGGGCCAGGACGACGCGGTGCACCTGGGGCGCAGCTGCACACCTGGCCAAGCTGGCAGAAGGTCCTACCGGACCGGGGGAACCGGGAGTCCACTGGCATGGCAACACACGTACCGGCGACACACGCACATCTTCAAGGTCACGTCAGCGGCACGCACTGCCGCACACGGCCTGCACCCACGTGCACATGGCGACCAAACTGCACTAAACTTCTGCTCTGCACGACGCCGAGATGCCAACGCGCCACGTGCACACGAGCCACCGCTGGGCCAGCAACAAGCACTTCACTTCGGCTGCGCTATGTGCGGCGCGCTCGACCCTGCTCGCCTCACTTCGGCACGACCCGACTCCTCTCCCCGCGATACAAGACTGGCGCGGCTCGACGCGGACCGGCTCCACCCGGCACGGCAGCGGAGCAGCGGGCCGTCGGGCGGGCCGGGGCCTCCTCTCGTCGGCGAGGGAAGGGGCCCGGGGCCCCGCCGGGGCCCGGCGGACACCGACTCCTAGTCCCCACCATGTGGGCGAGGAGCGGCCCGGGCCCGCGCGGCCCCTCCCCGCGGCTACATTCCGCTACGCGCCCACCCCCTCCAAGGCGCACTTCCTCCACTTCAATACCAAAAAAATCAAGAAAACGCCGTCCGGCTGGGCGCCTGGACACCACGCCGAATAAGGGCTGGAGTTGCCGGCCGCGGGAGAGCCCCCAACGCAGCGGGAAAGCCCGCGGCTACCTGGCCAAATCCCCGCTCCCTCCTCCCCCAGGACATGGCAGGATCCACCGTGGAGCATCAACGTTGCGGATCTAACGTGTGCTAAGCAGCCACACCCAGTGCGGCGGCGGCGGCTCGGTGGGCGCCGTCCTCCACTTCCTGTTAAAACCGCTGTTCATGACGCCTCCAACTGCGACCCATAATCTGGCCAACGCCGTCGCGATGCAGGCGGCGCGCCACGCCACGCCCGTCCAGTCCCCCGGCCACCCACCTGAAGTTCCCCGCCAACGTGCGCCAGGACGGGCACGCCGCCGCGTGACACCATCGGTAGACCCCCCCCGTCCTGTACGAGCGCTCCTGTAGAGAGGTCCACAATCAGGCAAAGAATGAGTTTCACTTTTCACTCGTTTGTTTGTCCAACGTTTGGTACATCTTCCGGATCGATCGAACAGAGCTAAAGACGTTCAGTATTATCACTAGACTTCTCATATCAGTGAGAGATGCCCAGTCGTCGTCGGGTTTAGCAGCTCAATCCAACCGATCCGGAACTCTGCCCGTGTTGCACCACCACGACGGCACAACACAGCTGGCAGGCTCCTGGAGCTGCCGCCGCAAATAAGATAGCAACAGGCGGGGCAGAGCGATAGCGACGTAATCACATGGTAATTACTGTCACATCACAGCCAAGCCCTGCACTTTCGTTCGCGGCGCTGCCGCGCTGCGACTGGCACAGAGCGCGGTGGTGGAAAAGCCGTGCCTGCGATGCCGCCCAGACTAGGGACTCGAGTTCGAGCAGCGGAGACCTCAACTCACTACGGGCATCCATCCCCTTCCCCAATCCTCGCTCGGCAACGCGGATGGCAAGTTGCTTATGGCAGGGTATTGCGGGCCGCCTTCCCTGCACAGAAGACGCGGACCTCAATGCCACCCCCCCCCCTCCTCTCTCGCGAACTGCCAAACTTTCTCTGTGGACCTGCGCCCCGCGCCCGCCGCGCCCCGCCCATACAGCGGCGCAGGAGCAACAGAGACGCCCTCTTGTAGTCGCGGACGCCACCGCGTGCCGGTTTTTCTTTCGAACGCAGCAGCTGTCTGCCTTGCACGCGCCGCCCCGCGCCGCTTGCTTGATTTGAGGGGCCGCGATCGCCCGCCCGCCCCTCTCCCCATTTGAGGCCAAGACGGGCAGAGCTGAGAGAACAGCCCGACGGCAGAAACCCATCGCCCCGTGCACTTCCCTTCTCCAGCTGAATCATCGGCAACCTATATGGTTACCGCCCCGCCCGCCTCCTACTCCTCACCCCTTTCTGCCGCTTCACGTGCGTCACGCGCAGTGCCCCCCTCCCACCTTTCTACCAGACTTGACGTCAAATGTTCTCGCGCCATACAGGGCTCGGCCCCGGGGCCACTCACCTCCGCGATCAGGGAGCCGGCCCAACTCATCCTCCCACACATGCATGTGCATGCGGCCCGAGCCCGGGGAAGTGCATAGAACGAGGGGGGAAATGGCTGAGGGGAGGGGGGCAGTCCAAAGGCTGTGCACCAGCGACACCTAGGCGCGAAAGGCTCATCAGAATGGAAAAAACGCGTGTGGGTAAAAAGGTCGATCGGAAGCAGGCGCTGACGCTTTAGAACAACTGTTTCCAACCTTGGTTCTTGGGGTCGCGAGCTGGCTCCCGAAGCTCTGCTGACGTTTGAGACAACGGGCATACCGTGAGCATCATTTCAGGACCATGTATCAAGGATTGCCATACTCACTTCGAAATGGCAGGTGCCTATCCTCTCACGCCCAACACCCCTGATCTCGAAGTGGGGTAACGACCAATACAGGGTCAAAAAAGTGAAATGGTTATTTAAATGCCAAATGCCTCACGACTCCATTAAAAAATATCGACGCAAAAATGCACTTCGCTGCTGGTGCACCACACCCGGTCGCGAAAGTTCACCTACTAAATAGCACAGCTTCTCGGCTACAGCTTTTAGGATGCAAGGACCGTTCTTTAAATTTAGCTGAAGTGTCCGTAAGTTGTAAGACTTGGTGACAAAGACGCAGCCGATGTAAGGCAAAAGAGAATCGATCATCAGTGCAAATGTTGCGATGACCGACGAGCGGTTTCCCCTCACTTTTCCAGGTTTGTGGGAAACCTTGGACGAGGTTGAGAACCGCCAGCCTAGAGGGCATAGCCGCAGCCGAGCAGCGCGGGCTCATCATAAGCGATCTCCGTGCACGACTCAGCTGCGACGATTAACAAGGACCCGCGAGCGAGTGGAGGCCGCGGCCGCACCAACACGCCCCCACCCAGGCGGGTGCGGCGCGCGCGGCGGGCGTCAAGCGAACAGACAAAATATTGGCACGAGCACGTCTTCCTCATGCGTTAGACCAGCGCCGCCCCCCGCCCGGGGTGGGGGTGACACGCTACCAGTGACAAAAAACAAAAGGGGCACTCTGAACAGCGCATACGGGGTGGTTCCGCAATGCTGTACGCATATTCAAATCCATTTGCTTTGGCACTCTGGAAACACAATACGACTTTGCAATTGGACTCTAAGGCAAATGCATTCCAATACTTAAGGATGGCTGCCCACACTCCTGGATGCAGAGAAGGGCCTGAACACAACGCCCCCCCAACCCCCCCTTCCCCGCGGCGCCTCGTGTCGTCGTGTCGCACCGTGGACCCCACATGGGGCTAGGCCTGACGCCATGCCATCCCAACAGAAATAGCGGGGGTGGGTCTCATCCCCGGCACAGGGGGGGGCCGCACTGGGTCGGCCAGTCTATTAATACCGACCCCCACGGCACGGCGGGGTCCCCGCCGCCCCCCGGCACTGCCTGGCCGGCGCCGCGGCGCGGCCTGCGCGGCCCCGGGGCGTGGCCCCTACCCCTGCCGGCCCGGCGCCCATAGGCACGCCGTGGCGAAACATACGAGAGCCTGACAAGAGCCGGGCCGGGGCGGGGCCGAGCGGGGCCAGGCACGGCGGACAGCGCCGCCGCCAAGGTCGGCCGAGGACACAGGACAGGACACCGGCCCCATTAACCCCGCGTCACAGTCGAAGGCAATTCAAATGAGGTTCTGACCAGACGAGGCAAGGTGCGGGCCCGCAAGGTGGGCGTGCGAGTCTTTCACTAATCAACCCAACAGGAGGCGCCGCCGGGGCCGAGCGGGGGTGGCGGCCGGTGGCAGGCACAAGCGCGATCGGTTCCACTAACCCTTTCTGTTCCTCTTGAAACCCATCTTGAAGCTGGTGGCGGGCGCACTCACACAATCACACACAAGAAAATCACAGAGCTTTGAAAATCACAGATTAGTCATATCACACGCCGATTATCACAACACGTTCAATCTAAAATGTTGCCAGGAGGCACCACAATGGCTGCATCGCTGGCCTCTGGTGGGGCAACCACGACACAAGTAAAAGACGCGATAAATGAAATAAATAAAGTTAAAGTAGAAACGTTAAAACGATGTGTGCAGCCGCATGGGGGGAGCAGCACTGCGGATGCGCTGTGCTCCCGACCCGACAAGGCACCGCGGAGCGGACGCGACGCGACTGAGCTCTGGGCTGCGCTTGGCAGGCCAATGCAGAGCGCGCTGGCAGCCGAGCCCCATTTCACCGGCCGGGCGGGGCGGGGCGGGGCGGGGAGAGGCTGTGTTCGGAAACGCATGGCTCGCACGGCGCGCACGGCGTGCACCACCCTTTTCGATAGGACAAGACGCTTGAACGTATTCAGCGAGTCGTGGCAGTTAACTCGGAGGCAGCCCGCCACTGCCCCCGCAATATTCTTTGCACTGACTCACAGCGTTCAAAAGTAAAGAGAACCCAGGTACTCCCCCCCCCCCCCCCAAGAGTGTGCCATGGCTCTTCCGCAAAGCACAGCCCCCGCGTCGCTAGCAAAAGGGCAGACCGGGGGCCGGGGTGGGGCGTAGCGCTACAGAGAGCTTCCCAAATAGATTTCCTGGCCAGTGTGGAGAAACTATTAGCCTTTTGAAAAACCCTTTAACGCACGCTAAATGTATTTCCATGTTACAAATTGGACACATTTGTACGCTTAAGTGCATGATTTCATACAAATGAATGGTCAAAAGTGTTCAAATCAACATAGAAATATGTGCAAAAAATTTGATTGGGACAAATAAATGATGCAAATACAGTTAGAGTATACTAGACATGGATAGACAATTGGCTCATGCGCAGTCAAATAAGATTTGTTTTCACGTTTAATAGTGGCATGAACTCCTTCTATGGTATCCAATGCGCTACTCTGAGAATTAGTAAATTATCCTCAGCAGCGGTTTCTAAGAGGGGAAGCACTCTCCCACTCGCCCCCTATCAGTCTCAGATTAGACTCTTGGAAGTGGGCTACATTCCATTCAAGATTCCATTTTACACTAAATCTCCACAAGCTGAGTTTCCATAGGGGACAGTAATTGGCGTCAAAAATTGGGTCATTGTTTCCAGCTAGAGACTAAAATGTGAAAACTATTCCAATCTTCCATCCCTGCGTTTGCCTTGCTTTTAATTATTATATTTGGATTTTCGTTATGACAATAACAGTTCTTTTCCTATCTATTTCTATCCCCCCCCCCCCCAATATTTAATTTTTGATGCAATGACATGTATTTTTTTTAAATTATATGTTTCTCATACCTATATCATATAAGTAAAATACATGTCATTGCATCGAAAATTAAATATTGGGAAGGGGGGGGGGGTAGAAATAGATACTAGTCATTTAGTGATACTAAAAATTGGCAGAGAGAGGTGATTTGGGAAAATTGCCTTCAGTCCTGTCCGGCCTCCCCTTGCATGGACGGGGTAACTACGATATAGAAAGCGTGCAGAGGACATTCGAGCAACTTCTTCACCCTGTTTCGACTGATCTAGAGTTCGGCCTGCAGGGTGGCAGAACAAAGATGAGGGGCTTGAGGGACAGTACAGGGCCGAGCCGGGCCGTCGCCAACTGGGTCAACCAAAGGGCTACAGTGCAGGCTACAGAGGATGCCGGCGATATAAGGCGCTTCAAGAGGATGCCACGCGTGAAGCTTCTTCAGGGACCACACCACACCCTCTTGAACAAGCCCCACAAATTAAAATCGGGATATTAAAGCGACAATCACGCTCTATAGAGGTTTTCTTAAAAACCAGCCACACACTCGAGTGCCCACTCTGTGCTAAATAGAGAGTGAGGAGGGGGAGGGGACTTTGCCTTCTGGTAGAGACAGTCCTTAAGGTACTGTCAAAAAAGTGGCGAAAAGTCACTTTCGACTGCCACATACACAACCATGACCCGTCTGTATCCATCCATCATCCATCATCCGCAATATCTATCGGACACGAAGTTCCAACGCGGTAACGAGATTTAAAACGATAAAGGGGAAAATGTCAATACTCTACAAACTACACGTAGCAAAACGAATCAGAGGATGCAAACTCACCATCCAGTTCAGCTGTTGGCTCGCCAGTACTCGACTTGGGCTTCGCGCTCTTATCGGCCTTCGCTTCTGCAGCAGCTACTGCAGGTGCAGCAGCTGGTGCGGGTCCATCAGCTGGGGCTGGAGTGGCAGCAGCAGCTGCCACAGGAGTTGGGGCTGGAGCAGAAGCTGCAACGGCAGGTGCCGGGGAGGGAGCAGCCGTGACTGGAGAGGTCTTAGAACTTGAGGTGGCTGGGGCTGTGGCCTGAGTTGCCGCTGGGCTTTGAGGTGAAACACCAGGAGCTGGTGGACTCTTGCCTTTGGGAGCAGCAGTGGTAGTAGTGGCAGCAGCAACAGGCTCAGATTTTTCAGTTGGTGATGGTTTTTCAACAACCGCTTCCTTGGGAACTTCCTTGGGTGCTGAGTTCTTGTCCCTGGCCTTTTCTCGTTTGCCATCTTTCTGTTGACCAGTCTGTCCAGTCTGAGACTTAGGGCCAGCCCCATGAGTGACTGGAGTTGGACTTCCCTTCTTCTTGCTATCAACATTGTGACTGAAAGAGAATCAAAAGATGTAGTTTATTTTTATTTTTTTGAACTTTTACACAATTTTAAACTGAATTGAAAAGTAAATGTACCTGCTGTCTGTGCTAGAAACACTAGTTGAAGAGTTACTTGATGCAGCAGCAGATGTGATATCTTGCCGTGTTTTCCTTTTCTGCGGAGAATGATGACTTCCAGGGTGTCCTGAGGAACCAACACCTCCTGATTGCTGCTGCCCGCGCCCCGCTCTGCCCGACAATAAAGGACATGTAATTAAACTCAAAAACTTTTATAGCAACTGTTTTATAGCAACTGTTTATAAATATTAATCGTTTCTGTGGAAGTTGTGTCTTTATAAAATTGACATGCAGTAAGTAAGGCCAACATAATTTGGTCCAGTTGAAATGTAACAATTACAAAACAAAAAATAAGCAACAAAACAAATTGTTGTGATGATTCATCACTGATAAATGAACTCACCTATAAACCTCAACACTTGGTGCATTAGTGTTGGCGCTGACAACTGGTGTCTGCTCATTAAGAGCGAGGGAATTACTTGTTCTAGGCATGTGATGATGCACCACAATTGGAACTGTTGGAATATTGGGTTGTACAGTTGGATACATTTCTTGATGAATATCCTTGGCACTATAGGGGGGTATCACAGTTTGCACAGTTTGGTACAAATACACAGGCTGTGCATCATGGAGTTTATCACCTAATTCAACAGGGCCTTTGTGTCCGCCCTGTTTCCAGGAATTTCCTATGCTACTACTTTCATCTAAATAACTGTTTTGACTAATAGTAGGATCTGAGCTGGCCTCATTTTGGGCAGGGCCATTCATACTGCCCATAGGTTGAGACAAGTCTGGAGGTTGAGTAGGGGCTGAAGGGGTTGAGTCTTCACTCGCAGCTTTTCCTACTCTCTCAGCAAACTCAGCTGCAACATTGTGGTTTTGCAAAGACTCCTGAAAAACAAAATGCAAGATTTCAGATTATTAATAAAATACACACATAGATAGTCATTAATTCTCTTTGAATCAACATTAAACTCACCGGTTGAGGAGTCTCCCTGTTACTAGACCCACCAGAAGCAGAGGCTTCTTTTTCCATCTCCTCTATCACATCCCTTCCACTGTTGGGGTCTACAATAGCCAGAGCATGTTTCCTTCGCTTTGGTTGAGCTGCAGGAACTGAATTACCACCTTCAAAAAACAGTTAACAGATTGTTAATAGTTGATCATCAACCAAAACTAGAGAACATTAAAGATAATTAAAACTCACCAGTGGATGCTGGAGGGGTAACATTAGGCATAATAGCAGCAGAAACTGGTATTATCTGACTTTGGGTAGGGCCGTGGGATGCTGAAGGTTGCAGATTTTGTTGACCCTGTGGTGGTGGAATACTCATTGCTCCTTGTGCTGACCTCACAGGATAAGACATATATCCTGAAAATAAAATACAAGATAATTTGAGTTGTGTGACAGTGGTTTAAGATGTAGGACTAAAATGTGAAAAATAAGTTAATACAGTATAGTGTCTCATACCAGGTGGCAGATTAACCCCGGGCACTTTTACTGTACCGCATACATGCGTGCGGGCGAGTTTGCCTCTCGTCGCTAACAACGGCGCCTTACGGCCCCGATCGCAAAGACAACCCACCCGCACACCTGCATGTGGTATAGTTCAACCATACAAGTGCACGGCGTTTATCAGCCACCTGTTACATTTTTTAATTTTTTTTTTTTAAGGTTTGGAAAAGATTTGTGACAGCTTATTCATTGCGAACTGGACCTCCCCATAACTTGGATAGACATGGCATTCCAAATTTTTTAAGAACACGTGTGGATTTGTAAATTGCTGTATTTGGATGAAGATAATTTACACTAATAAAATAAAATGTATTACTACACTTATAACTTTAGTCCCAAGGGAACCTTTACATGCTGTTGAGACACGTGTGATCATGTGAGACTAAACATTGAATTAAAATTCACTAATGATTCTAAAAAGGCATTCAGAAAAGTACTATATTCCAAAGGCATGAAAACTGTAAACCTTTGAATCAGTTTAATGCCTAGAAAAATGTGTTGAAGACAAAATCTAATCAACACCTTTGGAAAGGTGCAACAAAATAATTTACGCATCAAAGTGTATTTAAATTTGTACACACCTTGCTGAATAGGCATATTTGTAGCTTGAATAAATAGCTGCTGATGATTAGGATAATAGGAGGCTGCAGGGGCTCCAGAATTCATAGGTGGATTACGATACTGCAACAAAATGAAAACATGGACTTAAGCAGTCAGAAATAGTATAAAATCAAAATTAAGTTGGATTTTTGGCAAACACCACTCACCCCGATTGGGACCTGCACATAAGTATTTGCAGGCATCACAAAAGCCTGTCCTTGCACAATAGGCTGTGAACTGCCCATGCTAGTGTAAATCGCAGGTTGATTTCTGTTTGGCATCCGTGGTGTGGGTGCTCTTGGTTGAAAATTGTAGTTCTGAAAACAAGAGGGACAAGATAAGTTTTCCCTCTCCCTTCACTCTGGCTGACTATACCGAACCCACGCAAACTACCACACTCACTGCAGCATTTTGTCTTGGCGCAGGCTGGTAGGGCAGCATGCTCGCTTGCATCTGACCCTGCATGTGCAAGCCCTTGCTGAGGTCCGCGGCCACGTGCCCCTGACCCGGAGGGGTGGAGGTAGGCGCCGGCCCTCCTGGACCACCTGGGCCCCCGGGGCCCCCGGGACCACCGGGGCCCTGCTGCTGCGAGGCCTGCTGCATGGCCATACCCATCCCGACGCGCATCTGTGGGCCGCCGCTGGGACCACCGCCCGGGCCGCCGCCGGCCTGCGGCGGATAGCCCGTTGTCATATACACATCACCGCCTCCTGAAACACGACAGAACAGGAACATTAAGGGGGGGCCGCATAATACGCCGCAGTCAGGGTCAGGACGGGCCTGCAGTCAGGGCACTAGGCGAAAGGACACATGCTGAAGCTACCCTCTCCCTCTCGGCCTGCAGGGCCTGCAGGGCCTGCAGCAGGCCGACCAGAAAGACAAAAGGCCGAAATAGGCGCTGCACATGCCGGAAGAGGAGAATCGATCAGGGGAAGAGTGTCGAATGGGGACAAGGGCGCTCCAGAGAGGGACGCAGCCCCGCCCGCCCCGCAGCGACGGAAGCTGCAGGGCCGAAAGTAGGACGCCGAGCCACGCCACGCCACCCACTCGGATGGACGGTGTGCCGCCCCGCCCCGCCCCGCCCACCTTCTCCCCCGGCGCCCCATCCCCGCCAGCGCACGAGAAGGGGTTGGCTGCGAAGTGCGAGGTCGCGATGGGACGGGCTACATGGTTGCCCTCGCCTATTCCCTTCCCGCCTGAACACCAAAAGACAGGCGACCAGGCCAGACCAATCGAGCCCGCGGTACCTCCGCCTCTCCCCTAGCCGCCCCGGGCATCCGCGACAAAGACTTCTTTTACCCCTCGGGGGGGAGGGGGGAAGGGGACCTCGTGGAACCGCCTTGTGGTGCACGGGCAGGACCAACCCCCCGGAGCATGGCGGGGCGTGGCGGAGGGGAGCACAGTGGGACGATCGATGGTCAGCTGATCGCAGAGCGGCAACGCCGCAACAGAGCCGTAGGTGAGCCGGCAACGCGGCAACGCAGCCTGTGCCCCAGCCGCGCCGCACCGCCGTCCGCCGCGCCGCCGCGCCCACCCCGCCACCACGCCGCGTGACTTGGCGTGACCGGAGGATCCTGGCGTGAGCCCCCCGCGCGCGGGCGTGCCGCGGGCGTGCACATCGGACAAAGAGGGAACATCGCGATAAAGAGCCCTTTCAACTCGACATCAGTTCATTGAATCTGGACACGATCATCGCGCCACAGCCTCTCCCTGGACCGACTGACACCTGAAGGGGGAGAAAGAAAGTTGAGGATATCTTCTTGCACCCACCCGCTCGCGCCATGCCTTGCCGCCTTGGGGCGAAGCCTGTCAAACGCAACAGGGCGCATCAATACAAGGCGCTCTCGACCCAAAAACTTAAGCCTCCGCGGTCTACGTGCCTAATCAATGGTTTTGCACGCCGCCAGGCAGAACGTCCGAAGAAATGCGCCAGCCTCAGCCTAACCACGTGCACTCCACGTGACGTGCCCACCCAAGGAATTCGCGACCTCTCATCGTGGCCCCGTCCCGCCCCAGCAGAGGCTGGCTCTTACAAGAAAGGCGACCAGGGCGAGGGGGGAAAACGAACCCCCCATGAATGGCGAACTCGAGATGGCGGGAGATACCAGAGGAATGCGAAATTCTCCCTGAGACATACATATCCGGGTACGGTCTGGCCGCCTGCAGCCCCGAGTAGACCATAGCCGAGCCGAGCCGAAGGGGCCCGCGCCCACCCGAGGAGCGAGCCGAAGCCGAGGCGCGGCGGATGCCAGGCAAGCGCGGCTGGCGGTTGCAGCGGGGCCCGCGGCGCGGCAACGGCTGGAGCAGCTGCAGGCAGCTGCAGGCAGCTGCAGGGTGGGGCGCAGCGGGGAAGGGAGGGCAGGACGGCCAGCAGGGCGGCACTGCTGGCAGTGGGTCAAGGCCGAGCGAGCGGAGCGGCAGAGCGGGCGAGTCCGGCGGCCGGGGCGGGGCCGTGCCAATTTGGGGTTGAGCACAACCTCGCCGTCACGCCGCCCCGTCACGCCCGTCCCGCACCACAAGTCATAACACTCGCCAACTCCGCGAGCCATCCCGACCAAGAGTTGCGCCCAGTCTGCTCTGGCGATCGATCGATCAATGAATGAATGAATGGGGAAGAACCCTAGAAGAAACAAGTAACCCGTCCAGTCCAGGGGCTGAGTTCGAGTGGTCAATGGGTCCAGACCGAGGTCCAGGCCCATGCCATGGACCCGCGCGTCAGCTCGGCCCATCGCCCGGCCCGCCCCACCTCCCAGGGCGCAGAGATCGATCCGGCGGCAAATGAGGTACCGCAGCCAGACGAACGACTCCGCGAATGGATAAGCAACTGAATGAGTGAGAAGGTCATCCTGACATCGCAAGCAATACCCCAGGCGCCACCAGGAGCTTGAATCCCGAAGGACCCGCCGCTCTCGGACGACGGTGTAGACAACCCCTTGAATCTTTTATAGCACAAGCAGAAGCGGCTAAGTGCAAGCGTGCGCGTGCGAGGGCCAGGGCCAGGCCGAACGTCGCCGTTGCTAAGCGAGAGGAGATGACGGAGGCGCCAGGCCAGGCCGGGTGGAGAGAGGGCCGGAGGGGCGTGCGCGTGGGTGGCGGGGCGAGGCGGGGAAGGCGGGGCCAGTGCCTGGGGAAGCATTGCCGATTTGCAGGCAAGAAGCAGCTCTAGTGTACGAAACGGCCCGTAGGCAGCGTCAGCAGACACACACTATTGTTTCAAGGCACACCACCGCGTAGCGCGGCGCCAACTTCAGTGTACACCGAGTCCGCCGCACCGGGCGTCAAGTTTGAGGCCCCGCGGCGTGTGCAGCGACGTGTGCGAGTGAGTCAACACACTCATTGGGAAAAGAGAAGGGAGGGGGGAGGGGGTCACCGACCGTCCTATTGCCACCATCACGCACCTCGTCGGAGCTCCCGAGTCCCTCTGCCTGTTTTTGAAAGGGGCAGAGAGAGAGGGAGAGAGAGATGGCTGTGTGGCCTGTGAGACCGGAAGGGGGCACGAAGCTGTCGTGAACGCGAGCGGGCTTCGCGAATGCCAGCCAAGAATAAGCCGCTCCAGCGAGGTGTTATTCCACTTCCACCCAGGGTGCACGTGCAGTGCGCCGAGTCCACTTAGCCATGCACACACCAATGCTCACTCGCTCCCCCGCGCTGCTCGGGTGCGGGGCGCGGGACAGGCCGAGGGTGGTGCGGGTGCGTGTCTGCGGGCGGCGGGGGAGGATTTCCACTCCCACCCCACTGACTCATTCCCCTCGGGGCGCCACCCCGCCCCGCCCCGCGCCGTGCCACCCCGTGCACACAGAGAGCACACCGGCTGCTGCGGCACCCCGCGGGAGCACGCCGAGACACTGCGCGGGGCGGGGCGGGGCTCGGCACCGAACCACTGCGATAAGGGGCGTCGTCATCGCCATGTTTACATTTTTAACAACCCCCCGCGCACACGCCCCCACCTCCGCGACACGGCCGCCAGTGGGACTGACAGCGGCCAGGGTGGGACGGGGAAGGGGTCAGGAGGAGCTCAAGGTGGTGCTCGTGCTGCTCGCCCTGCTCGCCCTGGGCTGGCCGCCCCCGCCCGTGTCGGCGCGGGCAGGGCACTCAGCCGAGCGCGGCCGCTGGCACGCCGCTGCGCCGCTGTCCCTCTTGGGGATGTTCTGGCTGCACTCAACGACTCACTTCCGGGCCCGTTGCCGATGAGGCGCAGCTGAAACGCCTGCTGCTGTTGTTGCTGCTGCTGCTGCTGCTGCTGGGGCGGCGGCTGCTGTGGGGGCGGCTGCTGCTGCTGCTGCACCGGGTGGTGGTGGTGGTGATTGTGGTGATGATGGTTGTGGTTGTGGTGGTGGTGGTGCGGGGGCGGGGGTGCTTGTTGCTGCTGCGGGTGGGGCGGGTGAAGGGGCAGGTAGCAGCTCACAGCATGGCCGTCGCGGGTGAGTCCACCCAGGGCGTGCCCGTGCCCGTGTGCGGGGCCCGTGGGACCCGCGGGGCCGCCCAAGTACCGCGCCACCATCCTGGCGGTCGAGTGAGCCGGCCTGGCGGGCCTGGCGCGCGGGCGCGGCCTGGAGCCCTGGTCCTGGGCTGGCCTAGCGAATGGCACCCGAGACGTCCACGGCCGCGCCCACGACAGGCCACGACGACGACGTTCGGACCCGCATGTCGAGCTACACGATGACGGCTATCACACACACACAAACACACTGCACTCGGCTCGGCTCGGTGCGGCTCTGCTCGGCTCGTCTGGCGTTGCGACGCGTCACGCCACGTGACGAGGCACCGTGACACTGGCCATGCTGTGCCATGCCACAAAGGCATACCCCTCCCCGTCGCGCCGCACCGCGCCGCGCCCGCAGCGCGCCTGCGCAGCGCGGCCCCAGCAGCAGCGGGCGCGGCATCCGAGCCAAGCCGAAGCGGAGCCGAGCGCTGCCCCGCGCAGCAGCCGCAGCCGGGGTCGGCAGCAGGCGGCCGTCGGGGCGTGGCGTGGCGCGGCTTGGCACGGAGCGGCGAGCAGCACGGGGCGACGTACCGCGCCGCGCCGGGCCGAGGCAGCGCCGCGCCGTGGCGAGCCGCGCCCAGCCGGCGTCGCCTGCCCGCGCCCGCTGCTGCGCGCTTGCTGCACCGCGCCCCGGCGCGCCCCGGCGGCCACCCCGCCCCTCGCCGAGCCGGCATGGCCCTGGGAACTCGCCATGCGGACGCCATGCCGCCATGCGGAGGCTTTGGTTAGGTGCCGTGCGTGCGAGTCCGAGCCCACCCTCGCCATCGGGGTAGACTCCTGGCAAGGCGTCCCGCCGCCAGGCCAACCACCTTGATACGTTCGCCAATTGATGTAAACACAACTGGCGGGGCCGCGGGGCCCTTGGCCTGGCCGCCATGCTGGCGCGCAACGTCACGCCGCGCCGCGTCGCTCGGGCCTAAGGAGAGTGCGCTGACCGCTCCCGGCCACCGCCCCCCCCCCGACTGCCGCTGGAA